CCTTATTGCTTCTCTATTGAATTTCGTGTTCCGAAAAGTATCACTAGTTCCAAAGAAGGAACGTGCTGCTTGCCGATTATCACAACTCTGGCATAAGAAGGGACGTCCCTACTGGTTGTTGAATAATAGCGAAGCTCACCCCCCCCCCCACTCCATACCTACATCATTTTTTAACCACTCTTTGAAGAAAGGATTGATGCCCAGCGTAGGCCGAGCGGTCCTTCTGCTAATTAGATAATATGCATTCAAACTTTGCAGTTTAGCATTGGCGAGTATTTCTTACAAAAAAGAAGGTAATAAAAAATGCATAAAATCTCCATCATACCATGATGAGTGACATCAATGCGGTCGATTGCCTTTTGATCTATAACGGTTTTGGGATTAAATACGACTACAATTCCCTTCTCCTTACTAGGAAGTTTCCATATTCATAGTTCACATTTTGGTTCCACCATGTAATATTCCGATGCGTTGTCACGTGGATCTAAATTTTTCTTCCTTTGCCTATACTTGCTTAGTTGCTTTCCTAGCTTCTACGGACAATATTGATTTATGCTAACTCATGTATGCCAACGACAAGCAGCTCTTTGGGGTTGCAAAGTATCAGCTTGAGTCATAAGTCCTGGGACAAAGTGATAGTGATGACTTCTAGAGGTCATGACTCGGGAAAGAGGAGACAAAAATGGACGAGTGAAGCATCGTCAGATAGAGTATAAAAAGCTCTTCGAAATACATACTAACGAACACACCTAACTGCTTCCTTTCCTGCAGCCATGTCCCATGATTTCAAGTCGTCGCAACTTCACCTCCGCAACACCATCCTGTTTCTTTTGTTTATCTCGCCAAGAACCCGCTGAGATCGATAGATGTATGAAGGACGTTTACAAGGAGGGTGCTCCCGCTAAATGCACCATTCACAAGTGGCACATGCAGTTCACGTTGGACCACTATTCCATCGAAGATTCGGGACGCTCAAGTTAGATTTGAACGTGCTGTGGAGCCAGGTGGAAGCCGCTTCGTATCAAACTACTCTCGAGCTGGCAGTCACCCTTGGGGAGTCAGTCCACAACTATTCATAGATTGAAGCCAATGTGCGAAAGCTCGGTCGATGGGTGCCTCATGCTTTGAAGCAGTATGACATGGATTGCCGCGCCAGCATGGCACTTTCTCTCCTCACGCTCGAGCGGTCAGGTGCAACCGTCAATATGCATTTGGAAGAGCTTTTTAAATTCTATCTAACGATGCCTCGCCCCTCTTTCCCGAGTTATGATCTCTAGAAGTCATCACTATCATTTTGTCCGAGGACATGACTTAACCTAATATTTCACGAGGCCAGCAGAAAGGGTGGGGTGGGAGCTGATTTCATAATTTTAAGGGAGCTCTAAATACAGCTGACGTTCCATGAGATTTCTCAGGAGAGCCTGCTATAATCTGAGCAGTGTAAGGAGCTCCTGAACGAAAGACAAATGCAACCATTTGCGATTACTGGGCGAATCAAGAGGCCTATTAGGTATCTGATGATGTCTGCAAAGAGTGACGAGATAAAGAAGAATGGAACGAGGAGCCCTTCACGAGACGGAAAACTTCTCTGAAAATAGCTATATATGTGGATGCGAAACTTGTTTACATACATACTAGTGAAGCCATAGAAATTTCCGCAATGGACCCGCGGACTGAACAAAATGAAATAAGCAGGATGAAAGAGCTGTCGTCTTCATACCATTCTCAGTAACTCACACTCTAGGGAGTGCTTTAATTTATAATGTGTTTCCAGTTCAATCAGCGAGCTGTTCTAAAACACGAATCGGTCCGCTCGGACAATGGCAGGCTTCCCTCATTCTTTGACAAATTTGTAGTAATCGGTTAACTCTCCACTCCTTCTTCGGAATAAATAATATTTTCTTGTACTCAAAGTTCGGGACAGGACTAATAAGATAGTGCAGATGGTATTTAAAGTAAGTTGGTACTTACGCCTCTGATTCAACTTCTCGATCTTTCGCTTTTTTTTCATAGACACCTATTAAGGTTCAACTAAGAGGCAACCGAAGCCTCGAGCGGTGCTCGCAAATAGTTCGAGTGATGATAACACCATTATCAGATGTCATTATCAATGAACTTTTTCTTCACGGAGATATTATTAGTTGAGGATTCCAGGGTCACTGGCGGTCGGTTACGTTTTGAAGCAAAAGATATCGAACAAAAAGAATCCTTCATCGAGCCGGAAGCCTTGCCAGAAAGCGGTCATAATCTAGTTGCGAGAAAGCGGTCATAATCTAGTTGCGAAAAATGAACAAAATTCTTATCTGCTCAGTAGTGCAGCCGATGAGTCCCTATAACTACCCTTACCACTCACTTTCATCATCCCACTCTACCATCCCGTCTGATTGAATAAAACATATCAAAGAGACAATTTTTTGTGAATCCAGAGCCATTAAGGTTTAATTGGTAAGTGGCTTCCGCTCACGAAAGCTGCTTATCAGCTCTTATCATTTGTTATCAGTTCCTGTCACACAGTACCCACGTCACCTCTTACATCACCTATTCAAATGTCAAGGTACCATTGTGGATGCGGAAAGGACCACAAATCTAGCGGCTCCAGCCCCCTAAGCTCTCCGTCATCCCTTGCCCGCTTATTACCAGTACTTGTCACCAATTACCTTCGGCCCTTCACATCCCACACTGCCTACCAATGTGCTCCACTGTTAATATGTAAGACGTTGTAAGCCTAATGGTTCTCGCCTTTTGTGGCTCGTTATCAGTCTCTAACAGTTGTTACCAACGCTCATCACTGAAATCTACGATCCCCTTCTAATCCACATCTCTTACTAAATCCAAGGCTCCACCGTTTACACGGAGGAAGTAACGGATTCTGCGGCTCTAGCCTCCTATGAATCTTTTTAGCTCCTTTTAATTGTTATCACCTCCTATCACACATTATCAGTGTTCTCATCCTGAAACGTAAATTCCTACGAAATTTCAACTCTCTGGGTAAGTTTGAACAAGAGTTATAAATTCTTGGCGAAACACACACCACCGACACACACAAACACCGACAAGCCACCAGATGCATTCACGATTCATTCATGATTAGCGAATTATATATAGTATGAAAGTAGTTCACATTTCCAAACACACATCAGTAGACAGCAGCGAATTGCATATGGTCCGAATGGAAGGAAGGGTGTTTACTCAAACTAATTAATCATGCATAAACACGAGAGTACGTGAGTAGTATCATTGCTATGGGGAGGGCATTACGATGAGGTTTGGCCACACTGTCGACGTCTTGGAGGTGAGCTTTGTCTAATGAAAACTGACCTTCTGAATACTACTTCGCCTTCGGACTATAGCTTTTTCTTCAGCTCCTCGTCGTTATTCTATGCTTCAATATCGTCATGACTCAGTCGAATGTTTCTGATGGAGGAATTATAGAAATCCCTCAAGATAATGGTTCTTCACGGTCCATGGAAGGTGGTCAACTTTTTCCAGTAATCTCGTCCCACTGGTGGTCACGCTCCTTTCCGTGAACGTGGAATACGTCAAGTGTACTCCGTTCATGCATGTTCACTTCATTGCTGAAAATGTGGTTGGGGAGGTGGGGGACCATTGCTCTTTTCCAACACTAAACGCTAGAGCGCAAAAAAGTAGGGGTAGTGACTTTACTTTAAGATAATGTTCTCGGCCAAAAGAATATAATTTTAAACTAGGTCATAGGATGGGAAGCGCACTGGGGTGGGTTTGATGATTCCGTCGTGCAAAAAGGTGGGATCAGGTAAAAATAGGACGCTCACCAATTCCAGTGCTCTTTCCCACTCGAAAGTTAGTTTTAACACTATGTTTATCTGATAAGAAACGTTCTTAAGCACTTTATGGGCTCGCGAAGCCGGCATTCCGCTCCCAACTACAGTTCAACCAATTCGCTTCTTTTGTCGCTAAGCGCTTGTCCACTAGCAACGTGATTTCAAGTTTCCACCATCTCTAGGGACTGTTCCCAATGAACGCGACAATTATCATTAGTGCAGATTTCTAGTACAACTTAAGGTCATATCGCAAAATTCTGTTTTCCTTATTGGTTCAACCAGCCATTAATTCGACGTTGGTACCGCGTTAGTAAACTAAACAGGCACACAGTAGGGGAAATTACTAGTAGCAAGTAGTAATGAATATAAAGTTGTAGTAACTGCAAAAAGATTATAAATGATAGTGTGCAATGTCTATAAACAGCAGGCCGTCATGGAGATACGAAAATGAAGGAGAAAAATCATGTACAAATCAGGTTCTGGCCAGGAAGAGGAGAACCCTAAAGAGTGCATTACTAGTCACTCCGACATTTATGATAAAGTACACCTACTCTGTTGCTCTCGATCTTCCGACTATTTAGTGAATGATAGAATCCAATGAAACGACCCACTGGGATTCATTCTCACGGTTGGAGCGGTCGAGAGGCAGGGATAGCCGAGTGGGTAAGAGTGAAGGCTCACGTCTGCACTTAGAGGGAGTGCGAGTTCGATCCCTGCCGAGGCAACTCCATGCCTTGTTGCAAAAAAGGTATCGGTACCAGCGTCAGGCCAGGTTGACAGGCCGGCTGATGGAGAAACCCGGTCGCAACAAACATGTCTAAAGTCTCAAAAGGTATCAGTGATAAAGCTAGGACGTCACCCGGAAGTGGCGCAAGGATCCCCGCCCGAGTTCTGTGGACAGTATGCGAGGGCTACCGAGGGGTGAACGACCTCGGTCAAAGAAGTTAGTTCGAATCGGGACTCTGAACGTGGGTTCGCTTACTGGGAAGCCCCGAGAAGTCGCCGATCTAATGAAGCGCGAGACATCCAAGTCCTATGCGTCCAGGAGATCCGCTGGAAGGGAGCAAGGGCCAGAGAAATCGGAGAGGGTGTTGAACTCCACTACAATGGGGATGACACCAAACGAAATGGCGTGGCCATAGCAGCAGTAGAGTCCCTTAAAGACTCCGTCTCGCCGTCAGCAGGATCAGTAGCAGAACCATGGCTGTAAGAATAGACACGAAGGAGGGGTATTGGACAATAATATCAGTGTATGCACCGCAAGCCGGCTGCCCCGTCTACGAAAAGGATGAGTTCTATCTGAACCTTGACGAGGCCATCCGATCGGTTCCGGAGGGTGGCTACCTTACCATAGCAGGTGATATGAATGGGCACGTCGGCAGTGAAAGGAGGGGACTTGAAAGGGAACATGGAGCTAGAGAAATAGGAGTCAGAAACGAAGAAGGATAAAGGGTCCTCGACCTGGCCATGGCCCATGACTTGGCAGTCTGCAGCACCTCCTTCGCGAAAAGGAGGTCTCAGAAGGTAACCTACAGCAGTGGAGAGAACGAAACGGAAATAAATCATGTGCAGTAAGAAGGTCGTCCCTCAAAACTGTAAAAGACATCGAGGTACTGCCTGGAGAAGAACTGGCTACACAGCACGGGTCCNGAGCACTATCGTTCCAATCTTCAAGCAGAAGGGGGACGCGATGGACTGTTCCAACTACCGGGGGATCAGGTTGACTGCTCACACGATGAAACTGTACGAGCGGCTGGCCGACTCAAGATTGAGAGAATTGGTCCCAATTTCAGAGGAGCAGTTCGGCCTCATGCCTGAAAGGTCTACAGCGGATGCCATCTTCATAGCTAGGCAAATTATGGAGAAGTATCGAGAAAAGCGTAGACCCTGCTATCTAGCCTTCCGACCTGGAGAAGGCATTCGACTGTCTCCCGCGACAGGTCCTATGGAGTGCGCTCCGAAAGCGAAACGTGCCAGAACATCGTTCTCGGTCAAGGATATTTGCGATGGCTCCACTACAACAATACGCACTGCGCACGGTCAAACGGGAGCAGTAGTTGTCTCTATTAAGGTACACCAGGGATCAGCTCTGAGCCCGTTCCTCTTCCTGTTTACGATGGACGTCATCACAGAGGAACTCGTGGATGGACCACTTGAGACCATCCTCTACGCTAAGGAAGAACTCCAGGACAATCTCCAGAAATGGCAGAAAGTGCTGGCGGAAAATGGACTCCGGCTGAACGTGAAGAAGACCAAGTTCCTCAGCTCCGAGGAGGGCACGGAGTCAAGGGTCAATCGACGGTTACGGGGAAGCCATCGAAAAGGTCGAAAAGGTCCAGGACTTCCGATACCTGGGAAGTGATCTAGCCGCTGATGGTAGCGTGGACCAGGCCGTGAAATCCCGAATAAACGCTGCATGGATAAAGTGGAAGGAGTCCAGTGGTATCCTCCGCGACCGTAGGTGTTCCAGGACTCTCAGAGGAAAGGCGTCTCAGGCAGTGGTAAGGCCTACGATGCTCTACAGCAGCGAATGCTGGCCCGTAAGTAAAACCCATGAAAGACAGCTCCACTCCGCTGAAATGAGAATGCTGAGATGGGCCTGCGGCTGGACGCGACTGGATCGGATCAGGAATGAAGACGTCAAGACGGTCATGCAAACAGCTCCAGTTCAACTAAAGATGAGGGAGCGGCGATTACGGTGGTTCGAACATGTCCTAAGAAGACCACAGAGCCACCCGATAAGGAAGGCAATGGAGTTCGAGGCGCAAGGCAAGCGACCACGGGGAGCCCCGAAGAAGAGGTGGCGGGACGTGATCAAGGAGGACCTCGCCGAAGCCAAGGTGACGGCAGAAGATGCCGTAAATAGAATGAAATGGAGACGACTGATAAGAACAGCGGACCCTGCGACGGTGCGAGACTAACGCTAGGGAGAAGAAGAAGAAGAAGAAGGTTGGAGCGGTCGACTTCCGCGAGGTTGCCTCAGTCTGTGAAAAGTCAAGATTGTCGAACGTCTGACAAGGCATTTGTTTAAGTCACTGAGACATTATCATCCACTAATTTTTTGAATGAAGTATAATTGGAAGCGTCTATCCCCTATCCTCTCCCACCCAAAACGTAGGGCTAGTCACACACCGCTGCTCACTAGCATTCAATACTTGATTATCTTTATGTATAAGATTGTAAGCCTCAAGCTGATTTTCATGACTTTAACAATAATATAGAGGTACAGTTGACGATAATTTCTAGGTACCCTTATAAAGTTGAAGAGCGGAAGTAGTGGTAGGGAATAGTGCATCGGCGGTGAAGGGAACGAGAATTCGACAATTTCGAAAAAAATAAGGTTCCTTAAATGTTACCAAATGTTGTTGGAGTGTACGGAAAAACCACGGAAGGGATATTTGAACGAGATTTCCACTGTTGCGAAGAGCTGGCATTTCTAATTGCTTAACAAATGTAAGGAATGAGGGCCCGACGTAAACCGGGCGGCCCAACTGGCATAAACAATATAACAAGAAATCAATGCGCGGTGCTACGAGCTAACCTGTATTATACTTGCACTGAGATGGAGAGGAAAATGGGCAGCAGCCATCTGTACGCTCTCACGGTTGCGGTTCGAGCCAGAAGGATGTAGTTTTTGACTAAACCTCAGAAGGATACGAGCACCGAGGTGGGCGGTATGATTACCTCGTGCAAGAAGCTGAAAACATGCCCATCACGGGGCTCCTTTTCTCCTAAGCCTTACTTGAAAAATCAGGGTCCGGAATCTTCGCCCCGAGAGCGGCGTCGCGCATGGCGCACCCTCCGCGTGTCGCACGATTGCGATGGAAGTTGGAGCGCGCACTTTGTGAAGTAGGGAGTCCTTTAATTATTTGAATTGGCTGGCTGCTCTCTTCAACTCCAATGCGATCTTGATCGACGCTAATATAGAAGGAGTCATTCTAATTAATCAAGTTTAATAAACGTAGAAACGAAAAAACAGTCAAAAAATTGATAAAATCTAATAAAAAAAGGGCAATCAACGAAAAATATTTCGTCCTATCGGTCGGCGGAGAGGCGGGGTGAGTACAGTAGTTGCAGTGACATTTGCCGCATGCCGCAAGGGTTATTGCCGCAATCGG